GGGGTTCTGCCCATAGTTCAGGTAGAACGGGGACTGCTGCGTCGTGGCTGATGTGGCGTTGTTGTACGCGAACTCGATCAGCGGCAGCTGCTGCTCCCAGGTCGTGGGGTCGTCGCACGTGGCACGAATCAACTGCTCCATCGTCTGATTCGTCCGCTCCGTTTGGCCGTCGGTCTCGGGGTGGTACGACGAACTGAACTGTAGCCTGGTCCCGAACTGCTCCCAGAGGTTCTTCCAGAAGTTGCTGGTAAACTTCGTGTCCCTGTCGCTGATAATTGCTGCTGGTATCCCGTGCAGGCGAACAACGGCTGCGATGAACAGGCGAGCGGTCTCTTCGGCTGAGATCGACTTTTTGCACGCAGCGAAGTGTGCCATCTTCGTCAACCTATCCACGACGACCATCACCGCGTCGTTACCCCCAGGGTTCGAAGGTAACCCTGTGACGAAGTCCATGGTTACTTGCTGCCAGGCGCGTTCGGGCGGTGGGATCGGCTGCAATTGACCCGCCTTCCGCTTCCTTGAACTCTTCATCACCTGACACGTCGGGCACGAGCCCACGTGCTGCTGTACGTCGGTCAACAGCTCCGGCCAGTAATAGTACCGCTGCAGTTGCTGTCGTGTTTTTTCTACCCCGAAATGTCCCGAGGTAATCCCGTCGTGTGCCTCCTGCAGCAGCAGCTCCCTCAGTAGTGAGTACGCGGGTACCCAAATGCGGTTGGTGCCTGTTTTTACGTAATAAACTCCTTTTGCTTCTGCCAGTTGCTGTGAATTTCCGGTCGTGAAAAATGGGTCGGTGCGGTATCCGTGGGTGAATAGGCCAGTTAAAAGCGGGTTGGTCTGGGCGAGTAGGATGGCGTGGAGTTGGGCGGTGGGGCGGGTGAGAGCGTCGGCGATGTTGGATGCTCCTTTTTTGTACGTGACGGTGTAGTGAAAATTGGACTCGAGGTAGTCCAACCAGCGAATCTGTCGTGGGTTGAGATTCGGTTGGGCGCGAAGGTACTGTAGCGAGCGGTGGTCTGTCCGTACTGTCACGTCGGCACCAGTCAGGTAACATCGCCAAACTTTGAACGCGTGCACGATCGCTAGCATCTCGCGGTCGTGTATCGGGTAGTTACGTTCGGGCGGGTGTAACTTGCGGGACTCGTACGCGATTGGCTGGAGGCCATTCCCGAAATCCTGCAACAGTACTGCTCCCACAGCGATGTCACTTGCGTCGGTGACGAGCTCGAACGGACGGTGGGGATCTGCAATGTGAAGGACGGGCGGGGAGCACAAAATATTTTTGAGGGCCGAGAAGGCAGCTTGCTCTTTCTCCCCCCACGTGTACTCAACCCCCTTCCTCAGCAGGTCAGTCAACGGGGCAGTCAGTTTCGCCATGTCGGGGACGAACCGGCGCACGTAGTTGACGAACCCCAGGAAACTCTGCAACTCGGTCAAGTTGGTCGGCGCGTGCCAAGCCTGAATCGTCGCAATTTTCTTCGGGTCTATTTCCACTCCTGCAGCTGAAATAACATGTCCCAAAAACTCCAGGCGGTCCTGTAAAAACTCACACTTAGATGCTTTGGTCAGTAGGCGGTTCTCACTCAGGATTTTAAAAACTGCTTCGATGTCTTGTAAGTGCTGTGCTCTGTCAGGGCTGTAAATCAGTATGTCGTCCAGATAAACGATGACGCACTTATCTAAAAGCGGGCGGAATGCTTCGTTCATGGTCATTTGGAAAGTGGCGGGGGCGTTGGTCAGTCCGAATGGCATGACGGTGTATTCGAAGGATCCGTAGCGTGTTCGGAATGCGGTTTTAGGGCAGTCGGGTGGGTTGACGCGGATTTGGTGGTAGCCTCCTCGGAGGTCGATTTTCGAGAAAACCCGGGCTGTGCGCAGTTGGTCGATCAGTTCGTCGGCTCGTGGGATGGGGTAACGGGATTTGATGGTAACCCTGTTCAGTGCCCTGTAGTCGATGCACATGCGAAAACCCCCGTCCTTTTTCGGTGTGAACAGTATTGGTGCGGCGAAAGGCGACGAACTAGGGCGAATGAATTCCTTTTCTAGCAGGTAATCGAGCTGCTTCCTTAGTTCGTCTAGTTCGGGTTGGGTCAGTCGGAACTGTCGCTGTACTGTTGGCTGTGCCCCCGGTTCCAGTTCTATCCTGTGATCGTGCGGTCGCTGAGGTGGCAGTCCCGTCGGCAGGTCATCCGGGAAAATGTCACTGTACTGTTGTAACAGTGCCGCCAGGTCACTCGGTACGTCGGTCAGCAGTTTCTGTAAATCGCCTCCCTTGTCTGCTGCCTCGGCTTCCCGAATGTCAACCGCGTACACGTCGGCTCCGGCCGCAACAGCGCGTTTCATCGTGATCGCGTTGACACGCACCGACGAAGACTCAGGCGAGCCCCAGCGAGGTAAGGCGATGCTGTTACCGTTTACTCGCACGGTGCAGTCACCCGTCGTCCAGTCAATTCGCGGGTTGTGTCGTCGCAGCCAATCACGCCCGAGTAAAATGTCGGTTCCGTCGAGGGTCGTTGCGAGCATTTCCTGACTAAACGTGAAGTTACCCCCGCATCGAATCCGAACTCGGTCTACGCGTTCCCGTATTGCCAGCGGCGTGCCGTCTACCAGTCGTGCGTCGATCTCAGGTAAGCATCGGTCCATTGGCAGTCGCAGTTTTCGTGCTGTAGCAGTGTTAATGAGGCTGTGGCTGGCTCCCCCATCTACGAAGATTTTAACTAAGTCCGTCCCAATTTTCCCACTGAGCAGTATAGGGCTATCTACCGTGGTACCCTCCTTATTCGGCCGGGTGTGGTCGATTGCGTGAACCGGCACAATCACTCGGTGAGGGTCGGTTGGGTCGGGCGAGCGGCGTGACCTGTCAGTAGAGGGCCCGTCTGCTACTGACTTCCAGCGTTTCCCTGCTGCTTGGTCTGTGTCTGCTGCTCAGCTTCCCCCTTTCCCTTAGCGTTTTCCGGGCATTCGCTCTTGCGATGTCCCGGCCGATTGCACGCAAAGCAGCGCCCTTTGAACGGTGCGGCAGCGGCATTTGCGGCGACGGCGCGTATCGTGGCGCTCTCGTTCGTCCCACGAGGCCGATGTCCCCAGGTGTTGTTTCCGTAGGACCCCGGTCTCGGTCGGCGAAAGAAGTCGAGCTTCTCCGCCATAGCGAGAATTTCCTGAAACTCAGTGACGCCGCGAAGCTGGATTTCCTGAGCGATGTCCTGCTTCAGGCCGCCGATGTAGCGGTCGATGCGTTCGCTCTCATGCATGTAGCCCACCTGCTCGCATAGCGCCAGAAATCCGCTCGTGTAATCCTGGACGGAACCGAGTTGGCGCCAAGTGCGGAGCTTCTGTCGCGCCGAGATCGAGGCCGCGATTGGCTCAAATCGAGCGCGCAGACCTGCGCACCACGCGTCCCACGTGCGATACTGGGGCACCTCCACGAAATACGACGGCGCCCAGGGTCCGGTTTGTCCTTCCCGTGTCGGTAGTGTCGCGTAGTCGGTCGGCTTCGTGACGATGACGCGCCACCAGTCCATGGCGGGTCCTCGCAGCAACGACACGGCGTATCGAATCTTCGCCGAGTCCTCCGAGACGTAGTTGGCGTCGAAGAAAACATTCATTGTGAATAACCACGCCTGAACGGTAGGACCACCCCGTTGACTCGGGTCAAAGCATGGCGGGCGCTGCGGTTTCAGCGGCATCGGTGACGGCAGTCCCGAATCGTGGGTTGGTGCCGAAATCGTGACGCGAGGCTGACTTGGGGCCGCAGGCGTCGCTCTGGGGTGTGTCGTGCCGTGGTCGTCGTCTCCGTCGGGGCGGACGACGCCATCACTGGCCGCGCTCGCGGGTTGCCCCACACTCCCGTGTTGTGATGTTGAGGGTGCAGGTTGAATCGGAGTGCCAGGTGCTTGGGATTGTGCTCTCATGAGGTCATTTTGCAGTGATGAGCGTTCTGCCGTCAATGCCGCGATTTCCTCGGAGCTTTCGTGCAGTTGTCGCAGCAGATCGTTCAAACGCTCCTGCGTGAGAGTGGTGACGTCGATGTTTTCGGCCATGACGAAGGGCGTCGGCTCGTCTTAGTCTAGGCGCAGTCGTGGCTGCACGCGTTTACGAGAGAACGCGAGGACAGCGGCTCCTAGGGGCTAAGGTGCGTGAGTCCCTTCGAGTGAAAAATCAAAAGTTGATTTCCTGGTGTGCGGAGATGCGCGGTCCGAAAGAAAGGGGCTCTGATAACCAAGTGTTACGGGTGCAATGAATCGAGGTAGCGAGAATTGCACTAAGGTGTCAAACGAGTACAAAATGTGAGCGAAGGCATGAGCGAGCATTTATACGCGAAACATGCAAAACGGTAACGCGGTGCGTGCGAACTTGCTAGTGCTACGCTGGAGCGAGGCTCGGGCTAGTCCCGAAGCGTAGGCCGATACGGCCATGCCAGCAGTGCGAGGTTTGGCAAAACAGTGCGCGCGAAGTCGGCGAAGTTCCGTTAGCAGTAACGGGCGAACAGTCGGCTGTTGCTGTACGCGATGTAGTCGGCTCCGTAAGGAATGCCTGAGAAAATTCCTTACACTGGTATAGTGATGTACGCGCTAAGCAGGGATGAGTCGTAAGGAAATGGAAGATTCCTTACACATGTACTTCATGATACAGCATTACTCGATACGTTTACGTGTGAGTTTACATTTGCGTTTGCGTTGACGTTTACGTTTACTCGATCCCTTTTGCAATTGGAATGGAGCCAGAAGATGTGAGCAAACCTTGGTAGTTCCCCACCGCATGGCCGTTCCTAGGCAGCATTCTTGTTACTCCATACGACCATTCACTATCGTTCCTACGCGAGGATGGATCGCGCTGTGGGCTCCCTAAGTGCGGTATGTCCTCCGTTGACCATCCCTTCGCTAGCCGGCGAATTCAGCCTCGCGTGCTCAATGTCGTCCTGCACTGCTGCTGTCGTTGCCGTCGTCGGCCTCCCTGCGGCTAAATCCATCATGCGAATCCCTCCCGAACGAAGCCAGCAAATGCATCGGCGAGGTTGTAGCGTCAATTCGCAATGGGGAGAATCGTCGGGCAAGCAGAGTTACGGCGTAGGCCGGAATTCGCCAGTCCGTGCTAAGAACCTTGCAACCGACCCATACGGTAGGACGGTTGAGGGTGTTTTTATCTTCACTGTGCTTACCTTCAGTGTTGCTACTCCTGCCCACACCACACGCTTCTCATCATTTCCACTGCTTTCATTTGCACGGCTGGCTTTCTGTTCGATTGATTTGACCCCCTGTCTCGCACCCTGTAACCACACTTCGTGAAGCGACGCGGATCAGTGACTGCACTCATCATCAGTGTCATGTCACCTGTGTCTGTACCCTATAGTGTCATGCAGAGAGGACATGTTGGACCAGCATCTGACGTTTCGCACAGCAGCACCCGGCGACCTGCATCGCGTGCATTCCCTGGAAGAGGCCGGATACCCCGCAGACGAAGCAGCCTCCCTCGATTCCCTCACCTACCGCATCCACCAAGGTGCCAATCACACTTCGGTTCTCTTCTCTTCCCATCCACCAAGGTGCCTCTACATAGCTGTTTGATCATGACCTGTCTGATCTAGCTGAACGTTGGCCGTTTTCCAGGTTAAACTTTCTCTCAGTCCCTCCTCCACCTCCCGTTCCCCCCCATCCCCTCCCCACTCTTGCATCATTCCCTCCATTTCTCCGCTCTCAGGGTACTTTCTAATCTCTTTGTTTTGTTCAAACATGACAAAATGCTTATAGTGGTGCACTTGAATCGTGCAATCCAGATCATCTCGCCTCGATGTGAACTTCGCGCTCCCTTCCCCACCCTCCCCCTTTCCCAGCCAGCTCGGTGTTTCTGGTGGCGACACTTGGCAGCGAGCTAGTTGGCTTCGTGTGTGGCACTCAGACGCCCAGGGACGAGCTGGATCACGCCTCGATGTTCACCCATGACCCACAAGGCAGTACGTGCATCATGCCACATGCGATATGTTCATTTTTCACAATCAGTCCTTTCCCTCGCCTCCCCCACTCCGTGGTTAGATGGCACTGTGAGTGGCTCGTAGATCGCAAGGACTTCTGCCATGCATCTTTCAACAAAGGTACTTCTGCTTGGCCCTCATTTGACCTATGCTTGCCCGTGAAGTGTCTTCATTTTACACAATATTGCACAACGTCATGTGCAGGGACCTTGTGCATTCATTCCGTGTGTGTGGGCGAAAAGCACCGTCGTCAGGGCATTGGTTCGCGTCTGTTGAGAGCATACATCAAGCACGTATCGACCATTGAACAACCTAGTCTGCACTCCATCCGACTGTTATGCAAGGAGGTAATGATAATCATGTTGATGTTTGTATATATGTTCACTCTCTCTGATTCGTCATTTACGCTTTTGATTTGATTCCATTTATTGGATGTGTGCAGCCACTGATAGGGTTTTATGAAAAATCCGGCTTTACCTTGGTGGGGCCTTCAAGTGTAGTTCATGGAAGGGACATGTGGTTTGAGTGCTTGCACATTATTCAACGAAATTAATGTGCCAAGAAATTCGCTCTGTTTAGCTAACGCGTTTTCTGCTGTACATTTTCAGGGCGTGGTCGCCAACAAAGAATTGCCTATATCGAAATCACAGTTCCGGGCATGCGAAAGCGTGACCTCATTGACCACGCGGCGATTTGGTTTTACGATCGCCCCAGCGACGGTTGCGGCAATTCGCAACCGCAAGTTCGCGTTTCGCCTGCGAGCCGCGATTCAACTCGCCGCGCAACCGCCAATCTGCGCCACACGGCATTTCGCATGGACCTCATCCCACCAATTTCCGAGATTTCAAGGAAAACCATTTGTTCCACAATCTAGCCCACAGGAATTCTCGCTTACGTCCCGAGTCAAAGCGGTTGCATGTCTCAAGGCTTTTGCACAACGGCGATTCACGTAGCAACTGTCTTGTGCTGACTCGGTTCCATTCGTGCCGATCGACAGTCCACCAAAGGAATTGTGAGGCGTCGTAAGTTAATCGCTCCTGGAGCTGCGAATTGGCGAGCTGCTTCATCCCAACAACTCCGAGTCGATGACCAATTTCCAGCATCCCTCTTATTTCACTTCAGAAGCTCCGTTAGTCTCGTTTTGACGTAGAAAAATGAATTTTCTCGCAGGTAGGCTTGGCGACGCTGTATTACTTGCTTCCATGGCAGCCATACTATCTCGCCAGCAAGAACCTCGTTTCCGCCTCTGAAACCATCATTATGATTGAAGCCGCTTCTTCTCTCTAACCACGATTTATCTCCTCCAACCACCTTCATTACTAGGACAAATCTTCGCCTGCGTACAGCGAGAATGGCAGCAAGGAACAGGCACCTCAACTCTCTCCTGCTGCTGATGCTGCCACTGCTAGCCGTGGTACTAGCTGGTAAAACGCCTGATGGTGGCAGTGCGGAGAGAGGACTCGTGCCCACGGAGCCGACGGCCACGATCAAACTGCGGGGAGGAGATGCAAGCAGCGGCCGGCTCCTCGCATCCTCAAACCTTCCAGCCCATGGATCTTCCGCATATTCTTCCCCTTCCTCTCCCTCTCCACGAAAATCCCAATCATCGCCACGTTCACTACCCTCTGCCGCCGCGGCCATCGAATCCTTGATCCGCGGCCCCCCCTGCTCCTCCAAGTGCCCCTTGGGCTATGAGTTCGAGCCTGTCGCCTCGGGCCTAAAGGACGACCTGCATGGCACCGTGCTGGTTCTCCTCGATGACGTGCCCGCTGCAGACACAGACACAGACGCAGACACAGACACAGGCGCAGACACAGACACAGGCACAGACGCCGGCACAGACGGGGCAGCACAGGGCGGGGCTGGCGGCAAGGGTGATAGGCGGACTGGCAGTGCTGACAGTGGGGCTGGCGAGGAGAGTGGGGAGGACGAGGATGATAGGGGGCTTGGGAACGGGCGTGGTGGAGGTGATTTGGAGGAGGTTGAGGAGGAGACTGAGAGAAATAATAGTTGGGCGGATGAGTTGATGGAGCAGGGGCAAGCGCAGGGACAAGGGAAGGGGCAGGGACAAGGGAAGGGGCAGGGAAAAGGGAAGGGGCAGAGGCAGGGGCAGGGGCAGGGGCAGGGGCAGGGGCAGGGGCAGGGGCAGGGGCAGGGGCAGGGGCAGGGGCAGGGGCAGGGGCAGGGGCAGGGGCAGAGGCAGGGGCAGGGCAAAGGACAGAGGCAGGTGAAGAAGCGGAGTTGCAAATGCGTGGAGCCTTTCCTCGTGTCGCTGCGGTTCTCCATCTGCTCCTCCAACATCACCCTCAACCCCCGCCTCAACCCCGCCCTCTCCTCCCCACCCGGCCGCCCTGCCCCAGTTCCTCCACCATCCCCTTTGTCGTCCGATCCCCCACCCGCGCCTGACAGGCGGGCGGCGGACACTGGCACCTTCTTCCCGTGGTTCAAACCCAAAGGGCGCAAAGACCCGCCCCGGTCACAGCTAGACGAGGACGACGATGATCAGAGCGTTTCTTTTCAGCGCGACAGGCAGGGCAGGGCAGGGCAGCAGGGGGGTGATGCAGCAGGGCGGGGCAGTGCTCCCCCGGCAGCCATGCCCCTCAACCTACCAGAGCTCGAATACCACTGCCTGCCGCTGCTGGCCCCCCCCTCCCCGCCCCTCTCCACTCCTCCCTCGCGAAACCCGCCTGCCACTGAGGCAGTGCGGAATGCGACAACAGCAGCAGTGGCGACGCTGTTTGCGCCGCCAGCCCTCGCGCGCTTCGCAGGGAGCCTCATGGTGCTGCTGGCACAAAACAACGCCGCCACCGCCGTGGCCGTCACTCCCGTCGGCCTCAGGGGCGTGGATCTCGCCATCTATCCCCGCCTCGGCTTCGACGGCTTCCTCCCGGAAGAGGAAAAGGCGATGTGGAGGCGTCTGGCACGCATTGGCAAGGGCGTTTACGACCTCGGGCCGCGTGGTCCTGGTGCAGTGCAGAACGGTTCTGTGGGTTCTAATTCGTGGGAAGAAAAGATACCTACCGGGCCTTCTCTCTTCAGGGTGTTCTTTGAATTGGTCTATGTTACGCTGCCCAACAACAGCAGGAGCAGCAACCGCAGCAGCAACGTCACTGGCAACACCGTCACCGTTTCTGATGACCCTTATGCTGCTGCGGCTGGAGCACCCCCTGTGGACGGCTGGCCTGTATCAACTGCGGATTCTTCCAGTAACAGCAGCAGGAGCACTGCTGATTCTGCTCCGTCTTCTGGCCTTTCCACTCCCCTCGTTGTAGCCATTGCTCTCGCTGCCGCAGCTGCTACCGCCACTGCCGCCATTGCTGCTGTCCTGCTCTTCTGCCCCACCTCCTGCTGTGGCGGCAGGAGGAAGCACCGCAGGAGTGACAGCTCGAGCAGCAGCGGTGGCAAGGGCGGGGGGAAGCTGTTTGGGGCGAATCTGCGGGTGTTTGGAGGGAAGGGGCTCGATGGAGGGATGGTGAAGCTGAATGGTTTCCGCAAGGCGCTTGGAAGCAAAGGTATGCCTTGCTCAGATGAGTTACAAGATGAATTAACTGGAAGATTATTTACGCAGTCTTAGGGGTGTCTCGTACGGCATCGTTAGGACTCTCTCCCTTCGAATCTCTTTCGACTTCCCTATTCCATGGCCTCGCCACCCCATCCCTCCCCTGTTGCTCCTCGTCTCTTTTCCCCTCATGCCTCCTGTCTGCCAACCTTATCTCTGCCCACCCACACCCCGAACATCATTACCTCCAAAACCACCCTCAGTACCACGCACACTTTCTTTCCAACTTTCCTCGCTTCTGTTCCCTCCATCACCCATCCCACCTCCATCCCCATGCGCTCACCTCCCAGCCTTTGCTCGCCTCATCCCTGACCCAGAAGCCATCCTCGCTACAGGCGCACTCGACATAAGCTACGCCGCCATCGAGGCCGCCACGCACCGCTTCAGCGAGAAGAACCTTCTGGGAAGGGGCACGTTCGGGCGCGTGTACAAGGCCACTCTGCCCAATGGAATGAGGCTTGCTATCAAGAGGCTCGACCTGTTGGTTGCTGGGGGAGACGTGGGCCGAGGGGGGGGCGCCGGAGGAGGGCGAGGGGGAGGCCAAGCAGGGGTGTCCAGGGAAGCTGCCAGGAAGCTGTTCGTGCAGCAGGTGGGTGGTTTGTCTCTTGTGGTTCGAGTTATCCTTGCGTGTTTTGTGTTGTGCTGGCATGGGCGTGTAGAGGCACGTGTACAAGGCACTCTGCCCAATGGGCTGAGAGTCTGAGACTCTCCATTAAGAGGCTCGACCTGTTCGTCGCTCACATCTCCCCTTTCCCACATCGCCAGTCCTCTCCACTCTTCCACTGCGCCTTCCTTCCTTCCCCCACCCAAACAGGTAGAGGCACTCTCTCTTATACGCTGCCTGCACGTGGTGCCACTGCTGGGCTACTCCACAGATGGTGTCAGTGCCATGCTTGCATATGAGTTGACGTGCTCTCACTCATGCACTTTGTACCCTCCTCCCCCTACTCCTACTCTCCCTTCAGGTGGAGGCTCTTTCACTCATGCGCTGCCCCCACGTGGTGCCTCTGCTGGGTTACTCCACAGATGGAGTCAGTGCCGTGCTGGCATATGAGTTTGTGCCCAACGGCAGCCTGCACGACCACCTGCATGGTACGTGCCATGTTTTGCTGTGCACCATGGCTGTTACACCCAGTGGCACCTATGCGTCTTACCTCTCTACTGCGGGTGTTGTCAGTACTGTTCTGCCGTGATGGCATATGAGTTTATGCCCAACGGCAGCTTGCACGACCACCAGCATGGTACGCACTGTGTGGTGCGGCGCGGCGCGGTACACACTGGGTGGGCTGCGCTGTGCTCTGCTGCCCTGGTGCTTCGTGCAAGGCAGGTACTCTTCCAAATGCTGACAGGTGTGCATTCGTCTCCGCCCCCTCGCCCATTCCCCCACTCCGCCCCATGATGTGCGTGGCAAGTGCAGGGCGGCTGGTTTGGACGCAATGGGTGGAGATCGCAGTGGCATTGGCGAGGGTCCTGCAGAGCCGGCACCTGTGCCTCGTGCCCGTAAACGGGTCTGGCTGCATCAGGGAGCCTGCCGAGCCAGGACCCAGCCCACGCCTCCTCTGCCCCTCCGCCCCTCCACCCCATGGCAGGCTCGGGCCGGCTGGACTGGGCACACCGAGTGGAGATCACCATGGGCGTGGCAAGGGGCCTGCAGAGCCTGCACCCATCTCACACACCCCCCGCCTTTCCATCGCATGGCAGGATCGGGCCGATTAGGCTGGGCGCACAGGCTGGGCGCACAGGCTGGGCGCACAGGCTGGGCGCACAGGCTGGGCGCACAGGATGAAGATCACCATGGGCGTGGCAAGGGGGCTGCAGAGCCTGCACCAGCGCCTTGTGCCCACCGGATGGACACTAGGCACATGGGCTGGACTAGGCACATGGGCTGGACTAGGCACATGGGCTGGACTAGGCACATCGGCTGGACTAGGCACATGGGCTGGACTAGGCACATCGGCTGGACTAGGCACATCGGCTGGACTAGGCACATCGGCTGGACTAGGCACATCGGCTGGACTAGGCACATCGGCTGGACTAGGCACATCGGCTGGACTAGGCACATCGGCTGGACTAGGCACATCAAAGAAGCTGCAGAGACCGCAGAGCCTGCACCCATCTCACGCTCCCCCCTCTCTCCGTCCCTCCGTCCCTCTGCCCGTCCACGCCATGGCAGGCTCTGGGCGGTTGGACTGGGCGCAGAGGATGAAGATGGCAGTTGCCGTAGCCAGAGGCCTGCAGAGCCCGCACCCCCAGCCCCTCTCACCCCCTTCCCCCCTCTACGCTCTCCGCCCCTCCACCCCATGACCACATGTGGCAGGCTCAGGCCGATTAGACTGGGCACACAGGGTGAAGATCGCAGTTGCCGTAGCCAGGGGCCTGCAGAGCCTGCACCAGCGCCTGGTCCCCATCGGCCCCGCCTCGCCCCTCTCCCACCCCCATGAAGCCACTGCCTCCCAGGACCCATCCCACATGCAGCACCCAGGAGGAGCAACCGGCCAAGCAGCTTCATCTACCTCACCTTACACCACAAACCCCGGCTACGGCTCCAGCCCCACTGCCCGCCTCACCCCCCCCGATGTCTCTTCTGACTCTCTACAGAACAGTGCTTTTGCCTCTCCCCATAGTTCCCTGCCCTCGTCCCTCAGCGGCTCCCCCCACAAGCTGGACACGCTGCAGGAGAGCCCGCTGGAAGGGGAAGGGGACGGGGAGGGGGAGGGGTATGGGGACGGAGAGGAGGATTTTCTTGTCTCTGTGAGCCAGGGGAATGGGGGTGGCGATAGCGATAGCTACAGCAGCAGTGGGGAGTTTGAGAGTGGGGTGGGGAGTGGTGTTGGTGGGGTGGGGATGGATGGGGAGGAGGGGGAGGGCGAGGGCGGTGGGGGGAAGGAGGAGGTGGTGGTGAGGGACGGGCGGCGATGGGTGCGGGCAGTGCATGCAAACCTTAAGAGCGCCAACGTGCTGCTTGACAACCAGGGGAATGCTAAGGTGAGGCCCCACTTGCACTTGTGGGTTTGGGTTTAGAGCACTCGTGCGTCTTGGTGCCGGCGGTAGGTGCGGGCGGTGCATGCGAACCTCAAGAGCGCCAACGTGCTGCTTGACAACCAGGGGAACGCTAAGGTGAGGCCCCACTTGCACTTGTGGGTTTGGGTTTAGAGCACTCGTGCGTCTTGGTGCCGGCGGTAGGTGCGGGCGGTGCATGCGAACCTCAAGAGCGCCAACGTGCTGCTTGACAACTCGGGGAACGCCAAGGTCAGTTTTGAGTTGACTCGGCTGCACAGCACTGACATCTCACAGCACTGACATCTTCGCTGTCACTCCCGAGCTAGCCATTCCCAGGGTCCTTCGGGCTGGAACGTGGAAAGGTGCCGCTTTTTCTTCGTCTCCGTGGTTGGTTCACTTCACTCTCTCAGCTTGCCCCCAGGGTGCGTGTGCTTTGGATCCACACTCGTCAATGGCAGTTCTCTTCCCCTTCACCTTCAACACCCTCTTCCTCCCCATCCTCTTCCTCTCCTCTCCCACCCCTGCCTGCTCCCCTTCCCGCCCCGGTCCCCACTCCCCCTTGCAGGTCACTGACTACTGCCTCTCTCGACTGGCGGAGGACGCTCTTCCCACCAGGCGGGGCGGCAGAGCCACTGGCACGTTCGGGTACCTCGCACCAGAGTACGTGCGTGCAGCAAGGGGGAGGGGGGACTTGAGTGGGGTGGGAGGGCTTGGGTGTGGTAGTCATGGGTGTGGAACTTCCATCTTGGGACCTCCTCCTGATTCGTTTCCCAACTGCACCTAACCTTTCTCTGCTTGTGTGTTGTGTGCGGTGCAGAGGGGTGCTGTTCGGTGTGAACACGCAGCGCAGTGATGTGTACAGCTTTGGGGTGATCCTACTGGAGCTCATCACAGGGCGAAGGCCCATCGACCTCTCCAAGCGACCCGACGAGCAGTCCCTCGTCTCATGGGTATGCTGACCTTCTCTAGAGAGTCGCTTGCTCTCACCACCCACATGCATGTTGCATGCACTCACCACCCACATGCATGTTGCATGCACTCACCACCCACATGCATGTTGCATGCACTCACCACCCACATGCATGTTGCATGCACTCACCACCCACATGCATGTTGCATGCACTCACCACCCATGGACCACCCATGGACCACTCCAAGCAACCCAACGAGTAGGCCCTTGTCACAAGGGTGGGTTCCTCTTTCTCAATCAGTGCATCCTCGTCCTTTTATAAATGGGTTCCATTCTGTCGTGGTTTGGTTATGAGCCTGCTTACCATCTTTCAAGTGTATGCTGAGTCAACCAGCTGCTGAGCACGTCCTTGAGTATGGTTCCCTCTTGCCCCCACTGTCACCACTACCCATTGTGCCAATCCCATGCCATGCATGGCCCCCAATGCCAGGCTGTGCCGCTCATCCACAGAAACGAGAAACTCGCCATCGCCATCCCTGCCTTGCTTATTTTCAGTGGACTAACAAAGCGTTTTCATGTCTCCCCCCCCCTCCCCCACTTTGTCACTCCAGGCCGTGCCGCTCATTGACCGGGATGAGACGCTTGCCATTGCTGACCCGGCCTTGCGGAACCGCTTTCCACCAACCAGCTTCCACCACTTGGCTACTGTTGCTGCAGTGTGTGTGCAATCTGAGCCGTCCTTCCGGCCAACGATGACACAGGTCCTTGGATCGCTGGTCCCTCTCATTGACCTCGCCGAGCAGTGGAAGAGCCAGGGGAAGCCACATGCCGGGCCCCTCAAGTCTGCTTCTCCGCCCTCATCTGGTTTGACAGAGAATGGTGAGCATGGCCCTGGTGGCTCACCCAGGCCATCTTTTCCTATGGCCAAGTGCCTGATTTGTCACGAGCATCCACGTAACACTACCGTGCAGCCATGCTCGCACAATGTTACGTGCGAGCAGTGTGCTTCACTGCTTGTGTCGCGGAAGAAGCAGTGCCCTTTGTGCCATCAGAAGATCGAGCGAGCTGTGACGAAGGGAGGAATGGTGTTTTCACGTAACTAGTATGAATAATCTGTATCTGTAGAATACTTTGGTTAATCAAAGACCATTTGCCAAAAATCAAGTTCATGACCATCTGTTTCACTATTTAAGAATAAGTTGCGAAGGTGTAATATTTCCTAAGTGTAGCTCCATATGTGATCGTGTCTGCGCAAGTCTCGGCGGCCCTGCTTGTCGTGAGGTATCCAGTCGTTGTTATCGAGGCAACCAGGGTGACGGTTGCGTTGGTCGGTTTGGGGCGCCAGCCAATCTTATTCGTGCCGAGCCACCTCAGCGAAGGTGAGTCTACTGGCTGGGCCGCGGCGTGTCAGGTCTGCAAGCGACCGTCAAAACGGCTGCACCTCGAGCGATGTCAGCCGCACACCAAGCACACGGCAACCACCGCCTTCCACTACTCAGCTGAAGACATCCTGCGACGCCATTGAGAAGCACGCAACCAATCGGAGTGCTCTTCCGCGCCTCAACTGCAAGGCTCACGGGCATAAGCAGACGGACGGAACTTTCTGCTCCGTCAGTTTCTTGGGTTCCTCGTGTCCGTCGATTCCCAGACCTGAACCCTCCTATGCTTCGTTCCCTTCGCCAGGCCTGCCAACAGCCCTCGATAGTTCCCATTTTGCTGTTTTTGTGGTTCCAGCTCCTTCTGCATTTCAAGACAACCTCCAACACAAAATATACGATAGAAAGATAGTCCAGGCAGTCTCGAGGGCGGGATTGCTGGGTAGTCTTGAGATTCTTCACTCAACTGTCTCTCGCCCGCCATTGTTTCCGTGTGATTGCATTCCGCCCTGAATTAGACACGGTACTGTACTGGCGCTGAAGCCGGGCTCCTTTTCGCACTCGGACTATCCGTTCCCAGCCTTATTGTCACCGTCAACGACGATATCAACGCTCTTTACAGTGACAACAAAGCGTTACATCAGTCTCGGGAATTTATCCAGTGTCGACCTCTTTTGCTTATATTTCCCGAGCTGCTAGAATAGACAGCGGGCGTACCAGGGTTACAGATGGTACTTCACCGGCCGAAGCAGCACTGCAAGCAAGAGCTTCGAGAGCTCGACGTGCTACCAGTCAGCACGTCGAAAAAGCACCACCACCACCACCACCACCACCACCACGACCACTATCACCACGACCACCATCACCATCATCACCAGCAACAGCAGCAGCAGATTTACCGGCAGGGCCACGCGAACGAGGCGGCGGACGGTAACGATAACGGCGACGACGATCCGCTGCCGGTGGGGCTGGGCGCGCTGGACTGGGCGTTCAACATGCTGCGCTGGTGCCCCGCCAGCGACCTCGAGCTGCGATCGTGCGAATGTCGCCTGCTCTCGTTCGTTAGGTGCGATTACCAAGCTCTTGCTCGTTACGTGGTAACAGAAGGTGCGGATACCAGTTCGTTAGTCGTTCAGTAGGTGCAAGTACCGCCTGCCGCTCATCTAATGTTTCGTAGGTAAAGCCCTTGCCTTTCGTCCATCTCCCCCGCCTCCTTCCCGCTTCCTCCTCCTCCTCCCCGCTCGCTTCTTCCTCCCCTCGGTCCGCCTTTCCTCGGTCACTGGCAGTATAAGCGAGCCTTGTCTTCTTCAGTCCCTCCTCGCATGATGAGCGAGACATGTTCTCTACACGCCATCCGCCATGGCTACTCCAAGCATGCTGCATTCCTGCTTCACTATAGTGCACATCGTTACTGTGTGTAGTAGAAAGAAACGGGTTGTTCTCGGCGTACTGCATCTCTGCCGCTTATTTCTCACCGTCCCGCATACCCCCGCGCCCGCGTCGTGCAGGACCCCGCATCGCGTGATCCAAATCGACATCGGCCACCCGCCGGCCGTCCGCAAGAAAGCCACCGTCTGGCCGTCAGAAAATCCGCTGGAAGACACCCTGTCGTGGGGCTGGCAGAAGGCGGCGGAAACCGACGGCGGAAGCGGCGGCGGCGGAAGCGGGGGCGCAGGCGACGGCGACGCGGCGGAGAACTGCTTTATCAACACGCTGGTGGTGGGGGCGACGACGTGCCGCGGCGACGGGCGCGGCGACGAGGAGGAGATGAACGGGAAGCCGAACCTGGTGATGATCCACGGGTACGCCGCCGCGCTCGGTTTCTTCTTCCGCAACTACGACGCGCTCGCGGAGCACTTCAATGTCTACTCCATCGACCAGCTCGGGTGCGTTGGGTTTGACCAACTCGGGTGCGTGGCTCTCGGGAAAAAGTGACCACCTTGCGTGTTTGGGACGTGTTTATGTGTGGTTGGGGTCCTACGTGGGGATCTATTGGTCTACGTGTTTATGTGTGGTTGGGGTCCTACGTGGGGATCTATTGGTCTACGTGTTTATGTGTGGTTGGGGTCCTACGTGGGGATCTATTGGTCTACGTGTTTATGTGTGGTTGGGGTCCTACGTGGGGATCTATTGGTCTACGTGTTTATGTGTGGTTGGGGTCCTACGTGGGGATCTATTGGTCTACGTGTTTATGTGTGGTTGGGGTCCTACGTGGGGATCTATTGGTCTACGTGTTTATGTGTGGTTGGGGTCCTACGTGGGGATCTATTGGTCTACGTGTTTATGTGTGGTTGGGGTTCTCCTTTCGCAACTGCGACGCCTCGCGGAGCCAATCAACGTCTACTCCATCGACCAGCTCGGGCGCGTGCCTTACGGGAGGAATGAATTAGCCAGCTGTGTGTGGAAGGAAGCGTTTTGCGTGTGGTTAGGGAGGGGAAACGGAGGGGAGAGGTGGAGCTGAGAGAGGGAGGAGAGAGGGAGAGCAGACACAAAGAGCAGAGAGTGGGAGCAGATAGGAGGAAGCGGAAGAGAGAATGTACGTTGGACGTGCGTAGGCAAGAAGGGAAGCAGCGTGTAATGTGCAGGGAACGACGTTGTGGATGGTACGGGGAGGAGTGGGATGGAACAGGGCAGTGCCGAAGGATGAGGCATTTGCTGTCGCTAGCTAGCCCTTGCTGCTTGGCTTGATACGAACGAGCGATGCAATAAATCCAACACTCATAGCACCTCTCCCAATTCCGTGTGGCTCCATGGCTTGGCATGGCAGGTGGGGAGCTTCCAGTCGCCCCACATTCACACCAGCTTCTCCGGAAGGTAAGGTACAATATCAGTGAGGCGCAACTTTTCTCGTACTTCTGCGTCCAAACTGTTTGTCGAGGCGCTTCGTAGCCGAGACATGGCAGGTCGTTTGCGTTCCTGTGAGCTGCTCGTCTTGCACTCTTCTCCTCTTGATTGATTGCCTGCCACACATGGACACGCACTTGCGTTGGTCCATGCCACGCTCACTTGCACCCCTCACTCGCCCCCCACTCCCCTTCACTCGCCCAGCACACCCCCATCAATCCCCCTGTCGTTTCCCCACACACTCCCCCCCTCTCTTCCACCTCACTCCCCCTTCATTCCCCTCCTCACTTCTTCCTCACTCCCCCCTCACTCCCCCCTCACTCCCCTCTCACTCCCCCTCAACTCACCGCCCTGTGCACGCACCCACCAGAGGCGGAGACATGGTTCGTGGAGGTACTGGAGGCGTGGTGCAAGTAGATGGGGCTGCGGCGCTCCACACACCTCACTCCCTCCTCACTCCCCCCCCCACATCTCCCTCCTCACTCCCCCCGCACATCTCCCTCCCCCCCTTGTCTATGCGCCCCCCACCAGAGGCGGAGACATGGTTCGTGGAGGCACTGGAGGCGTGGCGCAAGGAGATGGGGCTGCGACGCTTCGTGCTGCTCGGCCACTCCTTTGGAGGCTTCGTTGCCTCTAGATACGCGCTCAAGGTGGGTGAGGGCGTGATACGCGCTCAAGGTGGGTGAGGGCGTGATACGCGCTCAAGGTGGGTGAGGGCGTGATATGCGCTCAAGGTGGGCAGAGAGCGCTGTTGAAAATTTCGTTTGTGCCTCCCTCCCTCCATGCACCCTCCCCCCATGCAACCCCACTTATGCTGCCTCCACCCATGCTCTATCCTCCCATGCTGCCTCCCCTCTGTGCCTCTCTTGCTGTCTCGCCTGCTGCTACCTCCCCCATGCTCCTCTCCCTGCCTCCCTTGCTACCTCCCATCCTTGCCCCTCCTCCCTCCCTGCCTCCCCTACTGCAGTACCCGTTGCGGGTGCGCCTGTCATCTGGTGCTGGTGGGGCCGGCGGGCTTCAGCCACGAGTCAGCCAAGATGGATGCAGCACTTCCGCTCCACCTGGCTGGCTACCAACACATGGGACGACCCCTCATTCCTCACTCCCTCCCTCATGCTGCCTCCCCTCCCTGACGCCCCTACTACAGTACCCATCCCGGGTGCTCCGTCTGGTGCTGGTGGGGCCGGCGGGCTTCAGCCACGAGTCGGCCAAGATGCAGCTCTTCCGCTCCACCTGGAAGGGCTTTGTCTTCCAGTGCTACTGGGACACCAACATCCCGCCGCAGCAATTCATTCGGTACGTGGCATGCGCCAGCAGTTCATTCGGTTCATGGGTTTAGGCGGCAGCAGCTCATGCAGTTTGCACCACCTCCAGTAGAAGGTGCCTGGTACATATTGTCCTATTCTTTTAGATTTTTCCACCTTGTTTTCATCCCACCCACCCTCCTTTGCCATCACTGTCAGGTGGCTGGCTCCTTGGAGTTTTGACCACCTGTCGACTCCATAGAAAAACTCACATTGTGAGTTTTTCCAGTCGACTCGCCAGTCACCCGTCTCCACCTCAGTTCTCCCGCTGACTGGGTATCTGGAGTAGAGCGCCTTTTGACACGTCTCAAAAGTTGACACGTCTCAAAAGTTGACACGTCTCAAAAGTTGACACGTCTCAAAAGTTGACACGTCTCAAAAGTTGACACGTCTCAAAAGTTGACACGTCTCAAAAGTTGACACGTCTCAAAAGTTGACACGTCTCAAAAGTTGACACGTCTCAAAAGTTGACACGTCTCAAAAGTTGACACGTCTCAAAAGTTGACACGTCTCAAAAGTTGACACGTCTCAAAAGTTGAGACGTCTCAAAAGTCCGCCCAGTGCGCCCGCTGGCAGGGTATCTGGAGTAGAGCCATTGTGAAGCTCTTTCTTCTCCTTGTCCTCCTTGCCCCTCTCTTCCTCTTCCCCCACTAGCTGGTTGGGTCCCTGGAGTCGAGATTCGGGACATTGTGAGGAGCGCAACCACACAGCGATGGTCCGACCTGCCACTGAAACGCTGCCTGCCTTTTCTTCCTCACTCCCTCTCCTCCCCTCTCCCCTGCTATCGGCAGCTGGTTGGGTCCCTGGAGTCGGGACATTGTGAAGACCGCAACCACACAGCGATGGTCCGACCTGCCACCACCACAAGAGAACATGACCCCCGAGCAAGTCGACGCCTTCTGTGGTACGTTCTGGGAATCCTCCTTCAAAAGGACGTTGTACTCAAACGAATGTGTCTCTCAAGCCGATTGGTTCCTTGTGTGGGGGTACGTATGGTGAGTGAGAAGCATTGGTCTCTTTTGCATGGGTTTAGTGTTTACTTGTGGCGAGAGGTGGATGAACCCGCATTGACGTGACGTGCATCAGTGTACTGATCTCCCTCTCTCTTTCCTTCTCCCCTCCTCCCCCCACCCCCCTCCCTCCCCTCTTCCCCCCCTCAATGCAGACTGCATATACCAGACGCTCTCAGCCCCCATGAGTGGCGAGCAATGCATCAAGTTATCACCTTCCCTCACGCCTTTCCCTCTTGTGCTGTTATTCCCCACGCTCTCCCCACCCCACCCGCCCCCCCCCCCCCCTCTTTTCCCCCACCCCCGCCAGACTACATATACCAGACGCTATCAGCGCCCATGAGTGGCGAGCAGTGCATGAAGTTTATCTTCTCCCTGGGGGCCTTTGCTCGCCGCCCGCTCATCGACAGGTGCGTGTGAGAGAGTAGGAGGCGTTTGTTGCACGACGCATTCTCATATGAGGGGCCATCTGTGCTGGCTGTGGGCTGTTGCTGTAAAACCCAGCTTCAAAATAAGAATATATTTTCTGAAGCTGAAGCCTCAGGGGGGGGGGCGTGCACAACTATGTGCAGTAGCCATTCTCTTTCCATATCCGTGCTTGTTGCTATGCCTTCACCTCTCCAAAGTGCTCTGGACTGTTTGAGTGCACTAGACTACCGCTGCACACTTAGCCATCTACAAAGCTCGGGCACGTCTCACAATCTCTTTCTCCCTCTGATGGCATGGCTGTTTGCATGCTTGCTCATGTGTGCTCCTGTGTGATTGTGGATGGGTGTCCATCGGTACATAACGGTGCAGTGCGGTGCACTGGAAGGCGCCGACAACGTTCATCTACGGGGAGCAGGACATCATGGACCATCGGGCAGGGCTTGCAGCGGCCAAGCAGATGCCCGTGCCGGCCGAGGTCTTCAACGTGCAAGAGGTGTGTGTGTGTGTGTGTGTGTGTGTGTGTGTGTGTGTGTGTGTGTGTGTGTGTGTGTGCAGTGCGGTGCAGTACATAACGGTGCAGTACATAACGGTGCAGTGTGGTGCATTAGCTGCCCACCAACAGGCAGGGCTGGCAGCTGCCAAGCAGATCCCTGTGCTGGCTGAGGTTTTCAACGTGCAAGAGGTATGTGCGTGTAGTGTGTGCCTGAGTGTTTCTGCCCATGTGTGCTTGGTTTGTGTAATGTGAATTGGTGCATAACGGTGCAGTGCGGTGCACTGGAAGGCGCCAACCACAGGGCAGGGCTGGCAGCAGCCAAGCAGATGCCCATGACGGCAAAAGTGTTCAACGTGCGCGAGGTACGTCATATATGTGTGTGTGTGTGTGTGTGTGTGTGTGTGTGTGTGTGTGTGTGTGTGTGTGTGTGTGTGTGTGTGTGTGTGTGTGTGTGTGTGTGCGTGTGTGTGTGTGTGTGTCCTCATGGTGTCTTTCCGGTTGTTTAGTACCAGTAAAACCAGATTCTGGGATACAGTCAGATGAAATCTACGTAACATGACCCCATCTAATGTGAAGGCACGCAAAAGGTGTACCATTTGAAAAGCACATTATATGCCAGTTCTCGTCTTCAAGTCCCTGGCTCCTGTAGATCACTCCTAACACTCAACCTGCCGTGCTCGTCTCTTCTCTCCACCATACCCTTGGACTTATTTCCAGGTTGGCCACATGCTATTTTTGGAAAAGCCTACCATTTTCAGGGATGCCATTTTGTACGCTTGTCGAGACATTCTCCCTGCGAGCTGCTCCACAGTGGATGCGGCGTGGAAGCATGTGGAACCCCACCACATCCCCCTCACCACCTGCCATAAGATTCATCTGGACATGACTTCAACGGTTCTGATCGCGCCGCAAGGAAACAGTGGTGTGAGAAGATTGGCCAGCGGCTGGGGGATTGGTTGAGGGGTGGGCAAGTGAAGTGTGCTAACGCGGCTGCTTTGTCTTGGCTGATTGTTGAGCTGATATGATCCGTGTACATTTGGGTGTAAAAGAAGTTAGTCTCAGGCGTTTATGACCTGTTTTTTCAGTACTAATTTACTTAGCACAGAAATATGACATTCTGTATGAATTTGGTGTTTAGGTACGCTGTTCAATCTTTGTGCTACTAACGAAGGCTGGATTTTTCTCCTATCCCTTGGAAGTAAGGGCGCGTGACTTTTGCTGTAGAGGTTCGGAAAAATGGTTTAACTTTTGATGGTAACCCTTTTCGCAAATATCGTCAAATGTTTCGTCCGTGCATCGTGTGTCCTTGTACAGCATTGTGTATGAACAAACCATGCGCGCACTAAACGTCAGTCGTGCGTCCTCTTGACCATACACGAGGAAGCGGCGAATTTGGCGACAATCGCGGCACGAGCCAGTTCGGAAATCATGGTCCTGGCCTCTTCAATTCACACCTGGTAGCCGTTCGTGAGCTGGACGCGCCTCGGAAAAGCTGTAAAAGTTCAACTTCGATTGTCGAACTTTTGTGTGTCCTGTGATTCTCGTGAGTGGAGGAGCAGCGACTCGGGTCACAGATGCGGAAATAGTCCAGCCTAGGTCGACCTAAGTTCAAATGTATTAGTTCAACTCGAAAACTCGATTTCTGCATATAATTTCCAAAAGACACGCGCCCTGAAGGGTGCTTTGCCTTTTTGTCTCTGATGCCGAAAACCCTCTCAAGCCAGCCACCAGGTTTGTGGTCCCAGTTATCTCAACCACTCGCTCCGCTTCAGTATAAGCGCAACCCGCTATTAAAAGCGTCATTTCGATAGTGGTGTGTGTTTCGCGCTCGTCTGACACGCCTGGGCAAACCCTAGGCGAACAGACAGATTCGAGTCGTCAAATTCGGATTGCCAAGTTTGAACCCAAACTCGAGGGGTCTGTGCCTGTCTCTCAACTGTACTATCTGCTCTGGTCCTGCGATCGCACGAGACAGTATGTGACTACTCGTTCTTCCATGGTCGTGAGCTTGCATTCGCTCTCCGAGTCTCAATATGCAAGCACAGGTGTTCGCCTGAGGAGGGCCTGTCGCCATCACTCCATTACCTCCTGTCCCCTGTGACGCTGAGCGAAAATCGTCTTTCCAGTACCGCACGTGTTGATCCCCGAGTGGATCCGTCTCATTGTCTCCTTCGCTGGTGTGCTGCTGTCGGCCGGGTTCTTTCGACTTGCAGTTTGTCATGACATTTTGCAATCGCCTTCCTAGTGTGAGGTAGGCCTGATTGGTTGTAAGGAGGGCTGACTGGTCGATGCAGCTTCCACCTTAGTTGCGATATGATCGCGAGCCGATCAGATAGGCCCGCCCGATAATGTGGGATCGACCATGGAGGGGAACAAAGACGAAGCCGACTTTTGAGTCCACCAAAACTGATTGCCAGCCGTTCAGATAGGCCCGTCCGATTGCGAGCCGTTCAGATAGGCCAGGTAAGCGTTCAGATGTTGGATCGGCCATGGAGGGGAACAAAGACGAAGCCGAGAAGGCGAAAGGCCTCGCCGAGACGAAGCTATTGGCGGGCGACGTCGCAGGAGCCCGGCGATTCTGGGAGAAGGCTCGTCGCATGTTCGCGTCGCTAGACGGCCTTTCGCAGATGCAGGCCGTCCTCGACGTTCACGAAGCCGTCGCGAAGAGGTTACCCGGTGTCGGTCAAGGCGAGGTGGACTGGTACCTCGTTTTAGACGTTCCCGATTTCTGCGATGACGATGCGTTGATAAAGAAATCGTACCGGAAAAAGGCGTTGCTGCTGCATCCCGATAAGAACAAAGGCGCGGGTGCAGAGACCGCGTTCAAGTACGTATCAGAAGCCTTCGGTTGCCTCTCCGACAAGGTCAAGAAGTCGCAGTTCGATCTAAGAAAGCGAGCCAGAGCAGCCATCGGAGCGCGCGGCGGGCACCACTCCGCCGCCGGCGCAGCTGCCGCCGCCGCCGCCGCCGCGAGTCGGCAGCACGCCGCGGCAAATCGGCAGCATGGGGGGAGCGGTCGGGGGCATGGAGCGGGAGGGGGAAGCACCGGCGCAAAAGCTGGCGCAGCGGCGGGCGGAGCGGCAGCTCCGCAGTTTTACACGCGGTGCCACCATTGCTGCGCGAGCCTGCTGTGTAAGCAGGACTCGCGCGGGCAGATAGTGAAGTGCCTGCTGTGCGAAAAGATGTTCCTCGCTCTCGAAGTCGACCCACCCGCCAAGGCAAAGCCGGCTGCCGCCAGTGGTGCTCCTGCTGGCGGTAAGGGGCGCGGGCAGCAGAAACAGCAGGATCAGCAGCAGCGGCAGCAGCGGCATCAACAGCGGCAGCAACAGCGACAGCAGGAGCAGCAGCAGCAGCAACAACAGCAGCAGCAAAAGCAGCAGCAGCAGCAGAAGCAGCAGCAGCAGCAGCAGCAGCAGCAGCAGCAGCAGCAGCAGCAGCAGCAGCAGCAGCAGCAGCAGCAGCAGCAGCAGCAGCAGCAGCAGCAGCAGCAGCAGCAGCAGCAGCAGCAGCAGCAGCAGCAGCAGCAGCAGCAGCAGCAGCAGCAGCAGCAGCAGCAGCAGCAACAACAGCAGCAGCAACAGCAGCAGCGGCAGCAGCCAGTGCCATTGCGGCCGGCCCCCCAGCCGCCGCCACCTCAGCCGCAACAATCACCACCACCGCCACCCCAGCATCATCAACAGCAACAACCGCAGCCGCAGCCGCATCCGCAGCAGCAGTCGCAGCAGCAGCAGTATCAGCAACCGTGGTGGCAACCGCAGGCGGGCGGGCAACAGGGCACGGGGGTGCCGCAGACGGAGAGCGAGCGAGCGAGTTTCATGAAGAACATGACGGAAAGCGAGCGCGCGGGTTTCATGAAGAATATGCACGCGCAGTTCTGCGCCGCCGGTATGATGGGGCGCGGGGGGGCCGCGGATCGATGGCAGCACCTGGCGCAACCCGCGCACCAGCCCCACGCGCCCAATGGCTTCTCTTCCGCAGGCGCCGCCGCCGCCGCCGCTGCCGCTGCAGCAGCAGGTGGTGCGGGTGGTGGTGGCACGGGAGGCACGGCGGCCGGGATTCCTGCGTTCGGCGTGCCTTCGTTTCCAAAGCCCCCAGCCTCGTTCGGAGGACAGCCGGCGGGTTTGAACCAGCAGCAACAGCAGCAACCACAGCAGCAGCCACAATCGCAGCAACCCGGCCAGTCGCAGCAGAAGCAGCAGCAGCAGCATAATCACAACCCGTTCTCCCAAGCTCCGGCCAGCCCCACACCAGACCACACCGCCCCACACCCTTCTCAACCCTTTGAGCAACCGTCCCACGCGCAGCAGGCGCAGGCGCAGGCGCAGGGTAGCCTCTTCGAGCGGTTCTGCTCGCCAGGACCCGCTGCGACGGGGTTCCGGCAGGCGTTCGTGAACGACGTGTGGGGCAAGGTGCAGCGGGAGCGCATGGACGAGCAGGCGGAGGGGCGGCGGAGGGACCGCGAGCGGAAAGAGGCGGAGGTGGCGGAGCGGAAGCGCGTGGCGAAGGCGGGTAGGGAGGCGGAGAGGGAGCGGAAAAAGGCGGCTGCTGCTGAGAAGGCGGCGGCGGTTGCTGCGGCGGCTGTGGCGGCCATGGGGGCGGGCGCGGGGAGGGAAGGCGGAGGCGGACAGCCGAAGGGGAAGGCGGGTGAGGAGGTGGGCGGAGAGGGGATGGGCGCACCTGGTGGAAGGGCGGAAGGGGTGGAAGACGTGGGAGGAGAAGGGCGGAGCACGAGAAAGAGACAGAGGGGGAAGGAGGATGTGCTACCAGACGATATGACTGCTGCTGTGCATGCCGCCATGGCTGCCGCGCGCGCTGCTCTTGGGACGGGCGGGATGGATGGCGTGGGGGAACGCGGAGGGCATGAGGCGGAGGGGGAGATGGAGGGCGCGGGGAGACAGGCGAAGAGGGTTCGCAGGGAGGAGGATCAGCCAACGGTTATCAATCTGGATTCAGATGGGCCCGCTGAAATGGAGGTGGATGTGATAGAGGTTGGCGGGGTGGCAGGCTCAGCAGCAGCAGGGGCAACAGCAGCATCAGTAGCAGCTGCAGTCACAGTGGAGGTGGCGGCAGATGCAGCAGCAGGTGTGACGACAGAGGTAGTTTCAGGCGCTGACGTGGCAGCAGCAGCTGTAGCGAGCAGTGGGCGTGCTGCTACAGCTTTCCCTGGTACAGAGGGTACCACTGCTGCCAGTGCCTTGTCTGGCAGAGACATGAGGGCGGCTGCTCAGTCCCTGCGACAGGCATCCCTCTTTGAAGTCATGCGGGATGCAGCCCAGGGGGCGAACCTCGCCTCCTCCTCTGCTCCTGCTCCTGCTCCCTCTTCTGCGCATGCTCCTCCACCGGTTGGTACCGCTGGTAACCGCTGTAATGCTACAGCTGCAGCTGCGGTTCGGAATGGTCGGGCGACTGTGCTCGACCCCGCGGCACCTGCTGCAGCTGCGGCTGCTGCGGCTGCGGTGAGAAGCAAGGAGGCCAGTGGGGAGGGCGGGGGTGCGACTGCTGCTGCTGCCGCTGCTGCTGCCAGGGGTGCTGCTAATGGTGTGAATGGGGTGGTGGATGAGAAGGGCGGGCAGAAAGATGGGAAGTCGGAGGGTGATGAGGAGGAGGGAATGGAAGTGGCGGATCCGGATTTCTACTGCTTTGACAACGACCGCGAGGAGGAGAGCGTGCAAGAAGGGCAGGTACGTGCAACAAGGGCAGGTACATGCATCAAGGGCAGGTACGTGCAACAAGGGCAGGTACATGCATCAAGGGCAGGTACGTGCAACAAGGGCAGGTACGTGCAACAAGGGCAGGTACATGCATCAAGGGCAGGTACGTGCAACAAGGGCAGGTACGTGCAACAAGGGCAGGTACGTGCAACAAGGGCAGGTACGTGCAACAAGGGCAGGTACGTGCAACAAGGGCAGGTACGTGCAACAAGGGCAGGTACGTGCAACAAGGGCAGGTACGTGCAACAAGGGCAGGTACGTGCAACAAGGGCAGGTACGTGCAACAAGGGCAGGTACGTGCAACAAGGGCAGGTACGTGCAACAAGGGCAGGTACGTGCAACAAGGGCAGGTACGTGCAACAAGGGCAGGTACGTGCAACAAGGGCAGGTACGTGCAACAAGGGCAGGTACGTGCAACAAGGGCAGGTACGTGCAACAAGGGCAGGTACGTGCAACAAGGGCAGGTACGTGCAACAAGGGCAGGTACGTGCAACAAGGGCAGGTACGTGCAACAAGGGCAGGTACGTGCAACAAGGGCAGGTACGTGCAACAAGGGCAGGTACGTGCAACAAGGGCAGGTACGTGCAACAAGGGCAGGTACGTGCAACAAGGGCAGGTACGTGCAACAAGGGCAGGTACGTGCAACAAGGGCAGGTACGTGCAACAAGGGCAGGTACGTGCAACAAGGGCAGGTACGTGCAACAAGGGCAGGTACGTGCAACAAGGGCAGGTACGTGCAACAAGGGCAGGTACGTGCAACAAGGGCAGGTACGTGCAACAAGGGCAGGTACGTGCAACAAGGGCAGGTACGTGCAACAAAGGGCAGGTACGTGCAACAAGGGCAGGTACGTGCACAAGGGCAGGTACGTGCAACAAGGGCAGGTACGTGCAACAAGGGCAGGTACGTGCAACAAGGGCAGGTACGTGCAACAAGGGCAGGTACGTGCAACAAGGGCAGGTACGTGCAACAAGGGCAGGTACGTGCAACAAGGGCAGGTACGTGCAACAAGGGCAGGTACGTGCAACAAGGGCAGGTACGTGCAACAAGGGCAGGTACGTGCAACAAGGGCAGGTACGTGCAACAAGGGCAGGTACGTGCAACAAGGGCAGGTACGTGCAACAAGGGCAGGTACGTGCAACAAGGGCAGGTACGTGCAACAAGGGCCAGGTACGTGCAACAAGGGCAGGTACGTGCAACAAGGGCAGGTACGTGCAACAAGGGCAGGTACGTGCAATGTGCAACAGGGCAGGTACGTGCAACAAGGGCAGGTACGTGCAACAAGGGCAGGTACGTGGCAACAAGGGCAGGTACGTGCACAAGGGCAGGTACGTGCAACAAGGGCAGGTACGTGCAACAAGGGCAGGTACGTGCAACAAGGGCAGGTACGTGCAACAAGGGCGAGGTATGTGCAACAAGGGCAGGTACGTGCAACAAGGGCAGGTACGTGCAACAAGGGCAGGTACGTGCAACAAGGGCAGGTACGTGCAACAAGGGGCAGGTACGTGCAACAAGGGCAGGTACGTGCAACAAGGGCAGGTACGTGCAACAAGGGCAGGTACGTGCAACAAGGGCAGGTACGGGCCAACAAGTGCAACAAGGGCAGGTACGTGCAACAAGGGCAGGTACGTGCAACAAGGGCAGGTACGTGCAACAAGGGCAGGTACGTGCAACAAGGGCAGGTACGTGCAACAAGGGCAGGTACGTGCAACAAGGGCAGGTAAGTGCAACAAGGGCAGGTACGTGCAACAAGGGCAGGTACGTGCAACAAGGGCAGGTACGTGCAACAAGGGCAGGTACGTGCAACAAGGCAGGTACGTGCAACAAGGGCAGGTACGTGCAACAAGGGCAGGTACGTGCAACAAGGGCAGGTACGTGCAACAAGGGCAGGTACGTGCAACAAGGGCAGGTACGTGCAACAAGGGCAGGTACGTGCAACAAGGGCAGGTACGTGCAACAAGGGCAGGTACGTGCAACAAGGGCAGGTACGTGCAACAAGGGCAGGTACGTGCAACAAGGGCAGGTACGTGCAACAAGGGCAGGTACGTGCAACAAGGGCAGGTACGTGCAACAAGGGCAGGTACGTGCAACAAGGGCAGGTACGTGCAACAAGGGCAGGTACGTGCAACAAGGGCAGGTACGTGCAACAAGGGCAGGTACGTGCAACAAGGGCAGGTACGTGCACAAGGGCAGGTACGTGCAACAAGGGCAGGTACGTGCAACAAGGGCAGGTACGTGCAACAAGGGGCAGGTACGTGCAAGCAGAGGGCAGGTACGTGCAACAGGGGCAGGTACGTGCAACAAGGGCAGGTACGTGCAACAAGGGCAGGTACGTGCAACAAGGGCAGGTACGTGCAACAAGGGCAGGGTACGTGCAAGCAGGGGCAGGTACGTGCAACAAGGGGGCAGGTACGTGCAACAAGGGCAGTACGTGCAACAAGGGCAGGTACGTGCAACAAGGGCAGGTACGTGCAACAAGGGCAGGTACGTGCAACAAGGGCAGGTACGTGCACAAGGGCAGGTACGTGCAACAAGGGCAGGTACGTGCAACAAGGGCAGGTACGTGCAACAAGGGGCAGGTACGTGCAACAAGGGCAGGTACGTGCAACAAGGGCAGGTACGTGCAACAAGGGCAGGTACGTGCAACAAGGGCAGGTACGTGCAACAAGGGCAGGTACGTGCAACAAGGGCAGGTACGTGCAACAAGGGCAGGTACGTGCAACAAGGGCAGGTACGTGCAACAAGGGCAGGTACGTGCAACAAGGGCAGGTACGTGCAACAAGGGCAGGTACGTGCAAGAGGGGCAGGTACGTGCAAGAGGGGCAGGTACGTGCAAGAGGGGCAGGTACGTGGACGTGTGAACAATGGGAGCCACGTAAATGCCTGCCCCTCCACGTCATCCCTTCCCTCCCTCGCTCCCACTTGCCCTCCCCATTCCTCCCCCGCTTACCCGGCCTCTTATTCTCCTCACCTTCACCCTTCCTTTCCCCCCCTCCCCTTCCTCCCCTTTTCTCCCTCCTGCTTCTTCCCCGTTTCTTCCTCCCCATCACTCGCCCTTCCTCCCCATCACTCGCCCTTCCTCCCCATCACTCGCCCTTCCTCCCCATCACTCGCCTTCCTCCCTCCCCATCACTCGCCCTTCCTCCCCATCACTCGCCCTTCCTCCCCATCACTCGCCCTTCCTCCCCATCACTCGCCCTTCCTCCCCATCACTCGCCCTTCCTCCCCATCACTCGCCCTTCCTTCCTCTTCCCCCTCCTCCCCTTCCACGCCTTCCTTCCTCCCCTCTTGCACAAGCTCGTTCGTTTTAAAGCTATGGAAACTGCACTGCACTGCACTGCACTGCACTGCACTGCACTGCACTGCACTGCACTGCACTGCACTGCAAGCCAGGGCTTCCATCTCCCTCCCTTCTTCCGCCCCCCTCCCCCCCTGCTTCTGCCCAAACCCCTCTCCCTCCCTGCGTCCACCCCACCCCCTTCCGCTTCCCTCTTTTCGCACGTCGATCTCTCCCTGTTCAAGTCAAGCCCCCCCAGACCTGTTTCATTTCTCCTGTTCTCAGAACCCACCCGTTCTCTCCCCTTCTCCCCCTCCTTCTCCTCCCCCCCCCCCCTTCCCTTGTGCCAGGTGTGGGCGCTTTACGACGATAGAAATCGCCGTCCGCGCTTTTACACGCTCGTGCAAAAGGTCTCCCACCGCCCCACCCCTCTTCCTCCTTTCCTCCCCTCCCCCGCCCCACACCCCTTCACCAGGTGTGTACGACGATAGAGATGGCCTCCCCCGTTTCTACGCGCTTGTGCAAAAGGTTTCCCACCGCCCCGCCTTCAAGTGCCCTCCCGTCCCTCCACCCTCAAACCCTTCTGCCAGGTGTGGGCCCTATATGACGACCGAGACGGCTTGCCGCGTTTCTATGCGCTCGTGCAAAAGGTTTCCCATCGCCCCGCCTTCAAGTGCCGCCTGCAGTGGCTCACGCCCCTCCCCTCCTCCTCCCGCCGCTCCGCCTCCTCCCTCGTGCCCCCATGCGGGTGGTTCCGCCTGGTTACCCGAGCCAAAACAATGGATAGCATCAACGTCTTTTCCTGCCGCTTGCCGGGGGTGAATCTTCACCCGAACTTTCCTCTCGCTGTGTTTCCGCAGCCGGGGCAGGTCTGGGCGGTGTTTACTGACCGGGTGCTGCAGCAGCAGCGGCGGAATGGGACAGGTTTGGGGGGAGGTTCGGGGGAGGGGTTGGAGAGGTATGATGTGGTGCAGGTGGCACGGGAAGGGGAGGTGAAGGGGGGGTTGGCATCGGTTGTGGGAGCGGCGGGGCTGATTGGGCTGCCTGAGAGGCCGGAGGATGGGGTGAGAGGGCAGTTGGTGGTGTGGCTGCTGCAGCGCATGCAAGGATACACAAGCATCTTCCAGGTATGCCCCTGACCTGCCTCCCACCTCTCTCTGTTGTGCATTTGAGTCGACTCAAGAGCAGTGGTGGTGTGGCTGTTGCGACGCATGCAAGGATACACGAGCATCTTCCAGGTATTCCCCTGACCTGCGTCCCACCTCTCTGTTGTATTTGCAGCTGCGTCCCTCCTGCTGCTTCTGCTGCCGCTTCTGTTGCTGCTTCTGTTGCTGTTCCTGCTGCCCATGCTCCTGCTGCTATGTCTCCAGTCTTTTTTAATGCTTGAAGCCTCATTTTTCCCACATTTTGATTTCTTGACCTCGTTTGCCTATAGCACTGGCCCATTCACAAGGAGCCGCATGACAGTGCTTAAAGGCCCTCATTGTTTGCCTCCCGTTGTGACCATGGCAGCGCACGAGCGAGTGTCTGGCAGTGGACGTTACAGTCTTCTCTCACTTCGTCCCCACATACCTCTGCAAGGGCAATGAGGTTGGTCCCAAGGGACTTCCCTCCTCGCATGGCAAAACTTAAAGCCCCTCATTGTTTGCCTCCCGTTGTGCCCATGGCAGCGCACGAGCGAGTGTCTGGCAGTGGACGTAACAGTCTTCTCTCACTGCGTCCCCACATACCTCTGCAAGGGCAATGAGGTTGGTCCCAAGGGACTTCCCTCCCCGCATGGCAAAACTTAAAGCCCCTCATTGTTTGCCTCCCGTTGTGCCCATGGCAGCGCACGAGCGAGTGTCTGGCAGTGGACGTAACAGTCTTCTCTCACTTCGTCCCCACGTACATCTGCAAGGGCAACGAGGCCAACTCCAAGGAACTCCCCTCCCCGCCTCCAGGAGCCATGGAGCTTGACCCGGCCGCCATCCCTCCTGTCATGTCACCCATTCACACTTGAAGGCTCGCGTGAACTGATTTTTGAGTTGACATAAAAGGGCAACGAGGGTGGCCCCAAGGGACTCCCCTCCCCGCCCCGAGGAGCCATGGAGCTTGACCCAGCCGCCATCCCTCCTCTCATCTTATTCACACGTGAACTTTCGGGACCCGTCTCTCTTGAGGCCTGGTAACTGCCACTAACTTTGTCCTTTTTATTCGTGCTGCATACAGTCTTGTACAAGTCACAGCAAATTCCTTCATAAATATATGGCAACGTATTGTTGTCACGGATTTGAGATTTGCATCAAGTGCCTGTATATTCGAATTAGTCATGCTGGACCAATCTATATCACAAGTTTTATCCAAGCGTACCATGCTACTATCGAGTCCAGCATACCCACATTGACCGCCAAGGAGCACCACCGAGCACTGTAAGCGTTACTCTATCCTACAAACCCTCACACCGCAACGCATCACGCCGCACCACGGCACACCACAGCCAAACCACTCCCTACCAGTTGCACAGGCTGCCATGCTGGGCATTGAGGTGCTTTTGGTTGCACGAGGATTTGTACACTCAGGCCTCAACGTACATATGCACCTAGCTCATGATCCGCCATGACAACCCACTACTAAACTCCATGCTCGCGTGACAGCCTGACACGGAGATTTTTCCTTTCTCGTCCTTTCCTTCATGCGCCCTGCGAGGGTCTCTGTTCTGTTCGGCCTAGCCGAGACCCCGCCGAGTCGTCCCGCCAAGCCAGCAGGCCGCCATGCCATCGTTCTTCAGTGTGTTTTCCGAACGCCATGTCGGCAATGCCGAAACTAGCTGCGCCCGGGCCGCCATCGAGACGGCTTCCATGAGTCCGTAGAGGCGTGTGCGTGGGCCCTCCTACGCGCCGATTACAGTTTTATCACCCCCCGACGCGAGATTGTGTAGATGCGCGCCAGGAAGCTCAGTTCCGTAAACCAGGGGAGTTGTGGCATCGGCTTGCATCAACAACCTGATCCTGATGGACTAGATGCGAGCCAGGAACCTCCCATGCAGTCGTCGTTGCGTGAGTCGCGGCGGTGGGGAGAACTCACGTGCATTCACTCGATCGCGAATCGCCGATTCAAATGGCTCGCTGGACACGAGGCGTCGCCTTCTCGTGCGACTGCAGTAATGAACTTTTCGAGCCTCAGTACTGCGACACGTTCGCCGCGGCACGCGTAGCATGACTCTCACCCCGCGCGAGCTGATTCAGCATCCTCGCCGACTCGCCATATGGCGGTCGTTGCTGCATGATGCTAAGATGATGGCAGCGTGCTTATTATTCCTCACGTCGAAATGTTGTAGCCTTGGGCCTGGGATTGAGGCAGCATGACTAGCGTTGTGAGCCTCAAAAATCACCTCAATGCTCGCAGCCTGACATGTCCATTCGCGCCGCTCCAGCGACGACGAATGGCGCCTCGAGCACAGCATCGACGAGTCGCCGTTGTTCTCTTCCCAGCTGCTGCTCCTCGCACCGCGTCTGACTGAACGACCGACTCATTGGCGGACGGACCCCGGGCCTCCGATTAAGACGCCTCTCATCGTCCCCCATCGTAGGCCTTGGCCTTGCGGTCTCCTTGTCTTGCGTCCTTTTCGAGCACCCTCTCTTGTCGTCCGTCGCGGCTCCGGCGCGTTCTTATCTCAGAAGCAGCTGCGTTCGCTCGCTCTGAGCAAGTCCATCTCATCGTAGTGATAATCGTGAATTCGTCCTCTCGTCGCGACCAAGCAGCATGGGGAAGCTCACGCTTGTGTTGGCGGTGCTGGCGGCACTGCTGGTTCATGGCGCGTTCGCGGAGGAGCAGGAATTCCTTCCCGGGCAGCCCAAGGAGAAATTCCGGGGCACTGGAGGACGCGTGGAGGTGTGGAGCGAAGATTTCAAGCAGCTGGAGGTGAGAGGGGGAGGAGCACATGCTGTTGGGCCATTTCCTCTGATGCCTCAGCCTCGTTTATTGTAGGAAGGAAGCTTCCTGTTCGTTTCTCTTATTATACTAATCCTTACACTTATCTTTCTCCTGGTCCGGCTTTGTGCCTGTCTCCCGCCCTGCTCGTCGTCACAGGCGGCGGAATTGGGGCCAGCCATGCTCGCTCTTTGATGCATCTGAAATAACCCATCTGACTTTCCCCCTACCCGCCCAACCCCCCCCCCCCCCCCCCCCCCCCCCCCCCCCCCTCCTCCCGCATCTCCACAGGCGGCTGAAGTGGGGGCAGCCATGCTCACGGTGGAGAGCCAGTCGCTCGCGCTGCCCTCCTACGCTGATTCCGCCCAGGTTAGTCATGCATTCACCGACTCTCCTTCTGCATGCTTCCTTCTACACTTGCGACTCTCCTTCGCTGTCTTGCATTCACTTGTGAGAATTCTCGAAAGTGACTTCAACACTGCATTCTTCCACTCTCCGCTGTATATTACTGTTCTTGTACGCGCCGCTCTCTGCCTGAGGTTTCCGGGAGGACTCTTGTTGGCCTTGATGGTCACTCCTTTGTGTTCCGATGTTGCATGTGTGATTCGCAACACGGCAGGTGGGCTATGTGCTGAATGGCGAGGCCATGGCAGGGCTCATCAGCCCTATGGGCGCTCCTACCACCGTCAGGTAACACTTGTCGTTTCTCGATGGGTGCTCCTGTCACGGTTGCTGCTGCTGACGCAGCCGCAGGCCATTGCTGGTTCTTTTTGCTGCCTTGTAAGCTAAATAGCATGCTCCTCCGTCCTGTCTTGTGCCCCTATCCAGGCGTCTGAGGGAGGGTGACGCGTTTGTGGTGCCGAGGGGGTGGGCGCGGTGGGTGTGGAACAACGGGCAGCAGCCGCTGCGCATGGTCACTCTCGCAGACACCTCCAAGGGCCCTTGCCCCTGCCGCTACACGCCGTTCCACCTCATGGGCGCGCAGAAGGAGGGCTTCGGAGGCGTGCTGCATGGCTTCAGGTATGTTCCAAGGGCCCGCTATTCCAAAGGCCCTGACACCCTCCCACACCTTCACCTCCAAGGGCCCCTGCCCCTGCCGCTACACGCCCTTCCACCTCATGGGCGCGCAGAAGGAGGGCTTTGGCGTGCTGTGCCATGCATTCCGCTTTGCAGTGTGCATGATGATTACGCTATGCCTATGCCATTGCCGCTATCACCATGTCTTGCACGCTGTGTGTTCGTTCTCGTCTGCGTGCAATGCGTTTTGGCTGTTTCTTTTCTTATCAACCCTTTTCTTTCCGTCCCGTGTCTGCTGCAGCAAGGACCTTCTAGCCCACGCGTGGGACGTGGAGGAGAAGGACGTGCAGCAGCTGCTGGACGCACAAAAGGAAACGTCCTTCGTGAAGGTCAGCCCTCAGCTGCGCGCAGAGCTGGAGCAGCTGGTCACCAGGCTTGAGCAGACCGAGGTGCTGGATGAAGAGGGAGAGATTGGAGAGGAGACTGAGGCGTACGGGGGCAATGACCAGCCACACTTTGGCAAGGGGGCGAAGCGCAGTGTGAGCATCTTTGCGGAGTTCACGTACAACCTCAAGACCCGCCAGCCGGACATCTACGTGAAGCGCGGCGGCACCGTGACCATGGCGAGCGGATACAAGCTCCCTGCGTTCCGCAAAGTGGGCTTTGCAGTGGCGCGCTTCAGCCTGGAGGGCAACGCCATGACGGCGCCACGATGGCTGGCGAATGCGGCTGCGATGCTGTATATCACCAAGGGCAAGGGCCGTGTGGAGATTGCCTATCCCGACGGCAGCCAGGCGCTGCGCCATGATGTGAAGCAGGGTGACTTCGTGGTCGTGCCTGCTAGCTACCCCCACGCTGCTGTGAGTACACGCTCGCTTGCCAGGTCAAGAGGCCTTAGCTTGCCGGGTCAAGAGGCCTTACCAAGCAGTATAATTCCTAGCTCGTTCTAATTGTTCCACTGGTCTCCTATCCTCAAACTGTAAAACTCCCATCTTGTTCTGGTTCCACATTCCTTCTTCTGGTCGCAACTCTTTTTGTACGTGCAGCTGGCATACGGAGAGGGTCTGGAGTGCATCGCCATGATTCCCAAGAGCCGCCCGCAGGCGGGGTTCCTGGCGGGGGCGAACTCGGTGTTCCGCATGCTGCCTCGCACAATCCAGCGCGCCGCTTTCAACGCCGATGAGAAGCTGCTGGAGAAGCTGCGGGCTACCAGGCAGAGTGAGTTTGGCATCCTGCCGCCCAGGAAGAGCAAGGGAGAGGGGGAGGAGGAGATGCCGATGCTCATTGAGCAGGTGGTGGGCTTCTGAGTGGCCTTGCTGTGTTGTGTGGGTATGATTGCGTTTTAGCACCACTTCAATGTACATAGTGTGAGAACTGGTTGGTGTGCTTTTCTCATGTGCTATGAGATGTGCTCTCGCTTCTCAGCAAGTTGGACTTGCCAAAAAACTCTAAAAAGTTGCATACCGTATCACCCCGGATATAAGCGCCATGGCGCTTATAATAAAATCGATTTTTTTAAGGGTGGCGCTTGTAATTGAATAATGGCCATAAGCGCCGGCGCTTATATAAAGACAAATACAGAAATACAATTCAAACGCACCAACATGTACAGTTCAGTCTCGTAAGTTGAACCGAATTAAAACTTTACAGCGTCCAGAATCAGAATCGCGCGAGGGCGAATTTCTGACGGTGCACTGAGCTTTGGCGCGTCATTTTGCCCGCGTGCCAGCTCATACTGACTGGACGCGCAACCAGTGAGGTCCGCGAAAGTCAAACAAAGTGAAAATGTGATGTGACTCGCTAGAAATATGAAGTTCGTTACCGTTTTAATCAGGAATGAAAAATAAATTTAGGCGTGCGCTTATAATAAGTAAAGCATTTTCAGGGGGGGCGCTTATAATCGAATTCCGGCCATAAGCGCCATGCTCCAGATAGAAGCGCCGGCGCCTTTAATCGGACGGCGCCTATATCCGGGGCGATACGGTATCAGAAATTAAGAATTCTTAATCAAGAATTCTACAAGCATGATTTAATGAGATGGAAAATTGATCACAGCGAAGTATTCTTCGGTGA